CAGACAGTTTTTGTGGCAAATATTCAACTTCACCATTAGCTTGAAAACAACTATCAACATTAGTAAACAAATAGCAAGGATGTATTACAAGTAAACTTATTTATGAATATAAGCAATAGGCAAGATGTAACCAGTGGATTATAGTTTGCCAACCACTGTTTCAATTGGTTAACCAAAAAACCCTGTTGTTGTTGTTGCTGTTGTTAAGTACTGTCAAGTAAATGTTGACTCATAGGAACCCCATGAATTACAGTTTTGAACCTTGTCCTATTCCATTTGATTCATCCGTGCGCTATATTGATAAGCTATATTAGTTTGAAAGGTGATGCCAGTGTTCTACTACCAGTCACATGTTCACTTAAAGTCGATCTTCTTTCTTCCAATGTTGGAAATGAATGTACATGCATTCATTGCATTCATTCATCGACTTTTATTTACCTATTACCAGAAATACAGTGAAGGAAAAAATTATTTCTTTTCATGGACATATTCAATGGAGTAATATGATAAGTAATATGGTTTGATTCTCAGATTATCTTCTCAACATACACATTGAATAAGTATGAAGAAAGGATACAATACTATCATACACCTTTCTTTTTTTAATTGTAATTTTAATGAAAGTTTACAGAAAAATCAAATCTTTATTTGCTTATTGTTGCACATTTCCCTCCCTCCTCCTCCTGCTCCCCAGTTGACTTGATTTTTTTCTTTTTTAGTATTAATTTGTTGTTGCACAATTTCCTCCCTCACCCTTTCCTCTTTTCCTCCCTCAGTCCATTTTGTAATCTACTTCTAATTCTGGACTGTTGTCATACATATAATGCCTACTCACATATTCCTTTTAAATAATTCTTTACTTCATTTATTCCAATACGGTGTTCATTATTTATCCTTTCTTTTCCAACTTCCCTCCCAGACCCCCAATGTCAAGTCCTGTTTTATAACAATGGTGTTCTTCAGTATTTGTCCTTTTGTGACTGAGGTATTTCACTTAACATCCTCCAGGTTCACCCATGTTGTGTAATGCTTCATGAGGTCCTTGTTTTTCTGTGCTGCATAGTATTCTATTGTGTGACCATAGTTTTTCTATCCATTCATTTGTTGGTGGACACTGAGTTGCTTCCATCTCTTTGCAGTTGTGAATAATGAAGCAACAAACATCGGTGTGCATACATCTGTTTGGGTTGCAGCTCTGGTTTCTTTAGGGTGTATTCCCAGTAGTGGAATTACTGGATCAAATGGTATGTCTATTTCCACTTTCTGAGAAAGCACCAGACCACCTTCCATAGTAATTGTATCTTTTTACCCTCCTAGTAGCAGTGAATAAGGGTTCCAGTCTTTCCACAACCTCACCAGCATTTGTTACTTGCTGCTCTGCTGAACTTTGCTATTGTTGCTGGAGTGACATATACCTTTCTTAAGATTAAACTATTACTCAGTATCCTCTTAAATTGATGAAATCCTATACAGACAGTGCTGAACTTCAAGATAGATATTAAAATGTTCTTTTTGACAATGAAAATGAGACTATTCCTTTTCAGTTTCTTGTCTTTAGCATATGATTGCCCATTTCAGTCTGGTCAATATTAGTGCATTGTAGCTCACTAACGCCTAGAAAAGAAATCTTTTTGTATTCCATTCCATTTTTACAAGTCAAATTTTTCTAAATTCATATATTCCCTAAGTGCACATTCCACTTTATTATTATTAAAGGATGTTTAGAGCTATTTCTTCTCATTTTGAATCATTTAATAACAAAATATGATGATTCCAAAAGCTTTACTTCACCCATATCATTAAGATCAACTTTACTGTGTAGGCAGCGCTTGCTTTCTCAATAGTATTTTGAGTGCTGTCCCACCTGAGCGGTTCACTGTTAGGAACTACAACGGACAAAGTTCTGCTACTATTCACAATGTATTCATTGGCTTTTTTTTTTATGAAATAGATTGTCAGCTTCTTTTTCTTAGTCTTATTGTAATCTCATCTTAAATCTGTCCACCATACACACCCTGCTGTGATTTTAAACATCAGTGGCATAGTATCCAGGATTTCAGCAACAAGTCACTACAGTAGGACAAACTAATAGAAAAGTGGTGAAACTATCACCTGATGTTGCTATTGTTGTACTTGTTGTGTGCCGTCGAGTTGTCTGCAACTCATAGTGATCCTATGTACAATAGCTCTGAATCTTGCCCTATCCTGAGACAATTTCATCATCTCTGGCAGACCTAATACCATTTCTCCAGTCCTTGAGTCAATCCATCTCATCCTGGGTCTTCCTCTCCTGTACTGTCCCTCCATCCTTCAAAGCATGATTTTTTTTTCCCCAAGAATTAGTCCCTCCTGGCCACGTGCCTAAAGTATGTGAGACAGAGCTTCAAAATTCTTGCCTCCAAGGAGCAGCTTGGTTTCACCCTCTCCAGCTCAGACCTGGTTCTTATCCTGGCAGTCCATGGTATATTCAATACTCTTCTCCAGCATCACAGCTCAAAGGCATCTATTCTCCTTCTATCATCCCTAGTCATTGTCCAGCTCTCTGATGCATAGCAAGTGATTCCAAAGATCAAGGTGTATATCAGTTGCACCTTAGTCTTTGCAGAGGTCTCTGAAAGCAGACTTTCCCAATTCAATATGTCTTTTAATTTCCTGGCTGATTGTAGAACCAAGTAAACTAAAGCTGTTAACAATCTCAATCTCTTCACCATCTATCATGATGCTGCCAGTTGGCCCAGTGGTAAGAATCTTTGTTTTCTTAATATTGAGCTCTGATGAATAGTGAGTAATTGTGAAGACCCCTGCCTGTAAGACTAAGACACATCTTAGTCTCTAGACTGACATCATTGCTCTTCAATACTATGGAGAGGGCCCTGACAGCAGACTTCCCCAATACAATTTGTCTTGACAAAGAGTGGTAATTGTGGAACCAAGCAAACTGAGGCTGTTAACAATCTCAATCTCTTCTCCATCTATCATGAACCTGCCAATCAACCCAGTGGT